TCCCTTTATTCCTCATTCTTGGTGCCACTCTACAAATTTTATAAATTCCAAAAATAACTTCAAAAATCAAGTCTAAATTATTAAACTAAACTTCCAAAGTATAATCTACACTTCCCATGCAATTTCCATAAATCTTATTCTTATTTTTCAATATGAATAGCGAATATTATTTTTCTCCATGAATAGTGAATTTTCAAATTTCTCTAAATGTGCTCAAAATACATGGTGAACATAAAAATTTTTTGTATAGAAGTAAAGCTCTTACCTGAAGGTACTTGGATCTAGCAAATTTCACTTGATTCCACCAAGAAATTTTCACTTTAGATGTGCCCTAGCCTTCCAAAATTGCAATTTTAAGAGGTTGAAGGTGACGGGAGGCGTAAAAATTGAGTTTTTTGGGCCAAAGTTTCACTTTTAACCATTCGCGAACCCGTTTTGATGAACCGGTGCTTAAGCGTGGGTAAATGGCACTTAGGCGCTTGCTTCTCGGGTTGGCTCATGCTTAAGCGCGAGATGTGTCGCTTAGGCGCCAGTGCACAATTTTTAGGCGCCAGTGCCGCTTAGGCGCCAGTGCACAATTTTTAAAATTTTTAAATTAAAGTAAAATGCACTATTTGCCTAAATAAACCACCCTTAAATGGTCTCATAGCACTTAAATGTCTATTTTTAACTTCCTATAACTTCCCTCTCTATTAAAACTCTCTATAATAACTATTTCAATTCGAGGCTAAAAATAACACAAATTTTCACACAGACAAATTTGTATTAAGTCACAAACTAGTACAAATACTTTTAAACACTTAATTCTCACTCCAAATAGTCTTGGATGAGAAAATTTTTGTAAATACAAATACACAATAATCATTACAGATAAAGAAGTCATAAATACTAAAAGCAAGACTTAAAAACTAAACCACTTGAAAAAAACAACATCAAACACAAATTCTAACACTAAGCTTAGTTCCATTTTTCATTGAAAGGAACAAATTGTTGTCATTCATTAGTCTCTCCAGGAATATAGAGTTGATAAAACGGATGGTGGTGACGAGCTCTGATACTATCTTCTTCAATCCACTTCTACTTTATGAACATCGTCTTATCTACTTCCTCTATATGACTTGTGTGGCTAAATTGTATCTTTGATTGCCATCCAATATGCTATAGATGTGAATGCAACTCAAGTACTTTGGTCTCCAATAAAGCCATAGTATTTTCCATTTTGTTGGTCTTCTCTGATATCTCTTTAATACTAAGGGCTAAGAAGTTGTTACACATCTCTTGTGCACTTTGAATAATGAACCTTTTCCATATGATTTCTTCCTTTTTCTTCAAATTCTTCTCCCATGAGAACATTTTCTCTAAATCTCACTTTCACTTAAACTTTTAGGGCTAGAAATGATCTGGGTGAAATTCCTTCACAAAACCCTTCTATTTATAGGCCTAAATTCTTCCAATAACTTCTAAACACGTTTAGAAACTACCTTGGCACATTTTTACAACCTAATTGGCGGCTAAACCTTATAGAATATTAATTTCGCACAAGTTCTTAAATTGTCGCGCTTAAGTGTCGGATCTGGCGCTTAAGCGCCAGTGCACATTTTTGCACTAGTCAACTTAACATCCAAATTCTTATTCTAACATATCTTGGTCACTAAATAAAGTCTTAAAATCTTTACTAACACATAATAGTTTCAAAAATACTACCCCAATTTTAATCACACACAAAACAATATCACACACAAAACAATAATCAAAATAAAAACTCACTGATAACTATGGGTTGCCTCCCACAAAGCGCTTGGTTTTATGTCGTCAGCCTGACGTTACCAGTGCTTATTCCGATTGACCCAACATCATCCAACATCATTCCATCATTAAGTTAAGTTTATGATGATCCCCTATAAAATAAGGTTTCAGTCTATGTCCATTAACTTTAAATATTTTCTCATACTTAGGATCTTTATTATCCACAGCTCTAATTAAATCAATGTGTTCCAATTAAATATGATCTAAATTTATCAAAAGCATATACTATTGTTAATATCTCTTTTTCAGTTGTTGTATAATTGATTTGAGTTTCATTAAGAGTTTTACTAGCATAACATATTACTTGAAAATTTTATCATATTTTTGTCCTAAAACAACTCCTATAGCATAATCACTAGCATCATACATCAATTCAAAAGGTTTTACCCAATTTGGTGAAACTATAATTAGTGCAGTGATTAATTTTTCTTTTAATAAATTAAAAGCTTTTAGAAATTCCTTATCAAAATTGAAAATTATTTCTTTCTCCAGTAAATGGCATAAAGGCTTAGAAATCTTTGAAAAGTCTTTAATATATCGCTAGTAGAATCCAACATGTCCTAAAAAACTCTTAATTTCCCTTACATTTGTTGGATAAGGTAAATTAGAGATCACATGAATTTTAGTAGGATCTACTTCCCTACAATTTTCTGATATTTGATGACCTAATACAATTCCTCCTGCTACCATAAATTGGCATTTTTCCCAATTAAGGACTGAATTTGTTTCATCATAGCGCTTAAGAACTTTAGATAAATGTTCTAAACATGAGTCAAATGAAGTTCCAAACACTGAAAAATCATCCATGAATACTTCAATCCCTTTTTTAATTAAATCACAAAAAATTGCCATCATACATCTTTTAAATGTAGCAGGGGCATTACATAAACTAAAGGGCATCCTTCTAAAAGCAAAAGTACCTTAAGGACTGGTAAAATTTATTTTCTCTTGATCCACAGAAGATATTTGTATTTGGTGATAACCAGCATATCTATCCCAAAAATAAAAGTATTTTTGCCCAGCTATTCTATCCAGCATTTGATCTAGAAAGGGTAATGAAAAGTGATCTTTCTTAGTGGCAAGATTTAATTTTCTATAATCAATGCATATTCTCCATCCGGTAACTTGTATAGTAGGTATTAATTGATTATGTTCATTCACAGTTATAGTTACTCCTCCTTAGGAATGCAGTGAATTGGACTAACCCATGTACTATCTTAAACTTAGCTTCAATTAGAATGGCCTTTTAACTACTTTTGTGGAGCAAAAAATAATCAACATCTTTCTTAATAACTTCTTTCATAACAGGATTCAGGGCCCGTTTGGGGCAGCTTATAAGTGCGGGCGGCGTTTTGAAAACACCGCCAAACCGTTTGGTTCGCACTTATGGACAAATTATTAAAAAATGCGTTTTTAATTTTCTAAAACACGCGGACTGCGGGCTGACCCCCGCGGTCCGCATTTCGCGATTTTTTTTCCGCATTAACCCACATTAACCCTCGGGCGAGCTACCCGTGACATTGCCTTTTTCCTTCCTCTTCTGCGACCTCTCTCGCTTGTTCGAAGCCGCATCTCCCTCCTCACCCTCCCGGATCTACTCTCGCTCTTCTGGAAGCCGATCTTCTCCTCTCGCCTCCGTCGAAAGTCGGATCTTCTCCTCTCGCTGCCGTCGAAAGCCGGATCTTCTCCTTCACTGTCGTCGAAGCTGTTTCTTCCATCCACGCCCTCCCATCGTAACTGGATCTACTCCTCTCGTTCTCCTCAAAGCCGGATCTTGTCCTCTCGCTGCCGTCGAAAGCCGGATCTTCTCCCTCGCTGTCGTCGAAGCTGTATCTTACATCCACGCCCTCCCGTTGTAACCAGTGCTTCTCCTCTCGTTCTCCTCGAAGCCGGATCTTTTCCTCTCACTGCTGTCAAAGCCAAATCTTCTACTCTCGCTCCCGTCCAAGCAAGATCTTCTCGTCTCGCTCTCGTCAAAGCCGGTTCTTCTCCGTTCGAAGCTGGATCTTCTTCAATAAACCAAAAGGTTGTCATAAAACTTATTATTTACAATCTAAGCTTTTTTTTACTTTTTAAAATTCAGGGGTTATATATGTGAAAGTTTCAATTTTAAAATTTTCAATCAGCATTTACCCTAATAACTGAAAATCTCAACGATATTTTTCCAATGCAGTGTTATTTTGTCATACTAACCATAAGACATGTTTTTAGTGCCATTTGACTTCAAAGATTAGATTGAGTTATGTTAATGAATGATGTTAGAGTCACATCTATTGTATGTTCATATATCCCAGGAATAAATCCTTTGTAGAATGTGGATAATCATGGAGCTTTGGATTTTATTTTCTAATAATCTATTTTGTTTAGTTCTTGCTGGTATTTTATTGGTGCTTTGGGGATGTTGTGAAACACAAGGGAATGTGTTTATTAACCGCACATCATAGTTCATCAAATATAAAATTTTGTAATGTCAAAAATCTTAGAAATGTATTGTTAGCGGTGTAAAACATTAGAAGCCCGGATCCTTGCTTGCATCAATGAGAGGGAAGGACAAGTAAAGGAAATAAAGCTCATTAGAAGACCAGATCCTTTCTTGCATTAATTATAAAGCAAACTATAATCATTTCATTTAATTTATGGCCCTTTTGGATCAATTATACATAGAAGTATCAACTTCTATTGTTTCTTTGTTTGCTTAAATACTTCAAGAAATCCTCGTAGGTAACTATACATACAAGGAATAGAAGGAATAGAATCATTTCTTTAATTATACATAGAAAGTAATTCAATGAAATTTATGGATGTTATCTCATGTATCCTAATTGCTTTCTAATTATTCTCTCCAAAAGTAGAAGGAATAGAGAAGGTTTAAATAGGCAAATAAAATAAAAAGTTCATGTTATTTCATACCAGAGCATCTAAATTTTTCATATTTACATTTCCCAAAGTAGATATTTACATTGTTATTTTGTTCTGTGATTTTTTGGTCATGAAAAGAAACATTTTATGCCTATCCATTAATCTGACAGAACTCAATGAGTAAAGTTAGAGAGGCTGGAACATCAGCCATGTGGGATAGAGAAGTTACTATAATCTTTTGTGATTTATGTGTAAGGGAGGTTGAGGTGGGACATAGACCCACTACATTTTTTAACAAAGAGGGGTGACGAAATATTTTAGTTAAATTCAAAGAAATGACTGGAAGAGATTACGATCGCATGAAAATGAAGAAAAAATGGGACCAGTTAAAGAAGGATTGGAAACTATGGAAAGAACTAAAACAGGGATCAACAGGAATGGGTTGGGATCCAGTTAAGCGGACAATAGATGCACCAAAAGAATGGTGGGCTAAAAAACTCCAGGTACATAATTTAATCTTTTTATTTTATGTTTAATCTAATTTTGCATTGACCTGACACTACTTCATTAATGCACATTTGTCATCTATAACAGGCAGTGCCGTCAGCAAAAAAATTTAAATTCGTTGGAATTGATCCAGTAATGGAGGAAAAACTAGATGGAATGTTCACTGGGGTTCTCGCTACAGAAACTCATGCGTTTACCCCAAATGATATAGGGTTGAACAGCTCAGCCCAAGAGATGGATACCGTGCAGATAGGTGATTCTGGAGACAGCCCTAGACATGTTCACACAAATGTTCAATCCACAAGTGTGCCCAAGCATCCCAGGGTAGAAAAGAAGAACAAAGAAGAACCCAGGGTAGAAAAGAAGAACAAAGGGGTTGCTTTCATTAAAGGCACTATTGATGCACTTGTTGAAACATGTAAAGCTCGGTCTTCTTCTTCGCACGATAGCTCAATTAATGAGTGTTATTGATGAGTATCTTCAGATCCTGAATACATATTCTGATGTTAAGGCAGACGATGATGACTACATTCAATACGTGAAGGTGTTACGAGATCCAACCATCAGACAGTTTCTTATGAAGTTGGAACCGAAATACTTACGATCTTTTATGGATGTCTGAATGTTTGAGTTATTAATGGACTTTATTGTCTATTCTTCTATGTTATATTTATGTTATGCACACTTTTTTAATCTCCGTTGTTGATGTTTTGGACAGTTGACCTTTCTATGTGATTGTTCTCTATGTGTGGCCAATTTTTTTATATATTGTTTTTATTTGGCCCAAAGTTCATGTGTTCTATTTATCTTTCATAGCATACTTTTGTCTTATTACTAACGTTAATTCATTTAATTTTTAATAATTTTGTAGTATGGATGAAGAAGATATCCACCACATACGCACAGTTGCATTTACCCTGACCTTATTGTATTATTACTAACATTAATTCATTTAATTTTTAATAATTTTGTAGTATGGATGAAGAAGATATCCACCACATACGCACAGTTGCATTTACCCTGACCTTATTGTATTATTACTATCTCAAATACATTGACCGAAACCCATGTATGACTTCAACTCAAGTAGGAGACAGATGGGTCTTTAATATGTTCCGTGGTTCCTTATGACACAAGAAATATTTCATGATCTTCTAAATGAACTCCGGATCAACCATGGGTTTCACGGCTCTGCAAGAACAACCCCAAGGGAAGTGCTTGGAATAACTCTATATATCTTATCTCAAAATGAATCAATAAGAGGTGCTATGGAGCGTTTCCAACATTCATCTGAAACCATCAACCGATATTTCTCAGTCTGTTTGAACTCTCTTGTTAGTTTGGCCCAGAAGGTAGTGAAGCCCGAGGATCCAACGTTCAATTCAATTCCTTTACAAATTGCAAATGACCCTCGGTACATGTCATTTTTTAAGGTATGTCTTTTACCATTACACTTATCCTTCTACTTTTATTACATTACAGTTTAAAAAAAGTTACAGTTGTACCTCCAGGATTGCATTGGAGCTATTGATGGAACACACATCGATGCACGATTAACTAGTGAAGAAAGAGTTGC